TCATTTAAAACATTTATGGGTAAATGAAAAATAAACATTTTATTACACTATAAAGTTGGTCTAAATGTGCTTTTTCTCTGTCCGAGTTATTTCCCTTGTTGGAGCTCTTCGGCATTGAAGAATACAAAATGTGTAAAATGTAAACAAGATGGCAGACAATAAAATCTGCATTTTTTCTTCTTGTTTTGAAACATCTTGTTCAGGGAAATTCTACCTCAAGAGACTCAGAATTTGATGAAAAACAGTTAACAAAGTGGGGATAATCTTTAAGAAAAGCCGAAGGGTTGATCTGGGCATGATGAGTATTACACGTATAGCTACTCGTAGAAAGGAAAATATGAGGAAATCAGGGTGGTATGGGACGAAGGCTGAGAGGATTTTAACTGTTTCCTTCAAAATGTCTACTGTTCCCTCCAAGATGTCTTTGAAATAGAGATCGAGAGATACATGTAGTGGTGTGGTAGTCCCCGACCAATCCCCATTGCAATGTGTAAGTATTTTTTATTTATAATTCTATTCTGTTGTCTCATGTACATGGTAACTGACTGTATATTGAAATAAAAGACAATAAAAACAAACAAAACCATGAAAACTTGGATGCCCAGTTGCATATATTACATGTAAATGACAGTGAATCATATACTACTGTGAATATACATGTATGTGCCAGTTTTGGGTACCGGTATTTTATTTTCTATAAAATTCAGTATATTTGAAAAAAATTGTTTGTACAAATTTATTTTTCTAAGTGATAATATGTTTGTGTCCATTCTATTTTAACATTAAACAGGATTTGTAGAAATCATACCACGGAAATATTAAACCTTTGACTTTTTACAATGATAACTGAATAGTTAGATTTTTTGAAATTTTAAGCAATATCAGGACCATAGAATATTTGAAAGAATTGATAAGAAAAAGTGTAAGTGTAAAATTATGAAAATTAACTCAGTACATGCAGACACACAGATGTGCAGCTGCTAATAGTGTTCTAGATCTATGTACATATACTTTGTCATACTATGTGAAATCTTTTTTGGGACCTTGATACAATTAAGTTATTTGCTCTGCAAGGTAATGTATTGTTAAGTAGGTAAAGAAATCTATTCAAGAGTGTTAGAATGTGACAACTCCATTTCATTTGTACTTGGAGTTCCTATAAATTAGTTAATTGTCATGAAGCACTCTTTATTGACTTTTCGAAGATGCAGCTTTCTGTCTCATAATTTTATTTTACTGAGCACTGTTTTTCAGCTATATATTGCAGGCATATCAATCTTGCACACATTTATGAATAGTTTTAGTTTTACAGTATTGATCTGTACAGATGAGATCATTCTGATGCTGTGTACTTTACATGTCAAGGACATATTTTACAAATTAAAAATAGTCACATTAAAAGAACAAAATAAATTATACCACATTACATGTAGTATCCATAAAACATGTATGTTTATATTACAATTAATTCATGATATAATAACATTTCAATTACCACTTTAAAAATTAATTGTTGTCAAATTCATTTCTACTCTAGATCTCCGGCAATTTGTCTAAACCGCAGAAGAGCTTTAACTGTGTAAATTGAAAAAAAATGCTTGATGACAACATTGAATCTCCTCTTTCACAATCATTCCCCATGATTCAGAGAATTTTCAGGATAACATTTAAATATCAGGTACATGTAATATATATTTGATGTTTAGGATTTTAACCCAAACTTTCAAATTAAAAAAATTATTTAAATTTTCAGATCAGTGCAGCCCTTGCAAGATTTTCCTAATAAAGATTCTCAGGATTACAGATCCTCTAGCACGGAGACCAGACAGGTACATGTATTGTGTATTAAGTTACATGGATTCATGACAATGCATAAAGGGAGATAATAATGTTTAGAGGTTGAAAATGTATATGTTTTATGTATAGCAAAATTTTAAGATTCCAGTTTTAAGTTTTTAAAATAATTTTTAATAGATTTTTATCCAAACTTACCAAAAATTAATGGTATTTTTTTTTCTTTATTTTCATGTGAACAGATAGAAATGACCAGAGCAGAGGACACACAGCCCCCCCCCCCCCCTCCAAAAAAAAAATTCACAGTGGACAGGAAGTAATTTTCACATGAAAAATAGAAAGTAAGAAAAAGAACAGAAAGAAAAGAAGATCCAGTAAAAGTTGTCACTGCTGCAAGATGGATATAGAGAGGGTTTTCTAAAGATCATTACTAAAATCCACAGCAAATTGCAAGGCTGAGCTACTTTTCAAACTTATACAAAAAGGACATAAAGAAATGTGAATTCGAGGTTTTCCTTAGAGAATATGTATATTCTAAATTGATTTCTTGTGTTTTCAAAAATGTCACTGTTTAAGTGGAGCATGCATTCCAATGTCATGTTTATTTCTTTTCTATAAAGGCAGTATTCCCCATTTTCAAAAGTGAGTTATTTCCCCTGAAGGGAACTCTTTTACCGTGTTTAATACGCATGCGCCATAAATAAAGTCACTTCCGCGGACGTTCTTGATGTAAACATGTTCATGGTGTAATGCCTGTCATATGGAAAAATGTTATTGTATTTGTGAATAAAAAGAAATCTTAACTGATTCGTATTTTTTTAAAATTGCCCACTCATAGTCTCTTTCTGGATTTGTATTAATCTGTATAGTAGTATAGTAAGGCAGTGTGTGAGCCCCCCCCCCCCCCTTACAAAAAAAGAAAAGAATCAAATTACTGATAAAATGCTGATGCTTATTCGAATATTCCTATTAAAAAAAACAATAAAAAAAATAATTTTCGGCACAGGTACTTGTGGACAGGACCCCCCCTCCCCCGATATTCAACCCCGGGGCTTATTTGACAATTTTTTCACAATTTATATTTAGTACACTTAGTCAACATGTTTGCAATAGGAACACATCGTCAAAACCCCAAAATAATCGCTCCACAAAAAAATACCCCACAATACATTAATGTATAGTGTGGTATTTTTTTGTGGAGCGATTATTTGTCCACAAGTACCTGTGATTTTCGGTAGTGGATGTTCTGCAGAGGGATCATCATTATTTACAAAATGTGCAGAACAAATATAAGAATTTTTAGTTTTTACGAATTAATCTAGCCTGCTGCATCCATATTTTCTTCTCTGCATCTCTAGGAATTTTTTGGAGACTGATGACATGTCCACCTACAGTTTTACCCCTGAAATTGCTGCATATACAGTAGCAGTTCGGCTTCCGCGACCGATACCAAGAAACTGCGTTTTTGCTCGATTGCTTAAGCTTTTTTACTTACAAGAACACATTTTGTGACAATTAAAGGCTTTAATATTTCATTTGAATTAACCGTGTTTCCAGAATTTTTTATTTGTAAAATAATTGATTCAAGCCATATATGGCGTATGTACAATGAAAATTATTGGACTAAAATTATAAGAACTTATTATTTGTATCATTACTTTATATAAAGATAGAACTTTTCCGTAAATTACAAAATCTAAATCAATTGCGTTATAAAGATATCACAATTTAATTTGGATTCTAGGAATTTTCTCCGACTCGGAAGGAAATACAAAAGATTTGAATTACACATTACAGAGAAGATAAAATCGAATTGTTAGATGAAACGAGGTGTTTTCCGTGGTCAGAATTGTATGAAAAGCTTTAATTTCAATGTATTAACTATATTTCTTTACATAATTTTGTATTTTTCAAAAATATGTTTTTTGAACAGTTACGCCATATATGGCTTTCACTGCATGTATAGTATTAAAAATTTGAATGGAATTCTAAATGAATAATTTAATCTCATGTTCTCATGTAACGAAAAAAGACTAATTAAAATAGCATCGACCTGAATTCGTATTACATGTCGTATAAAGTCTGAGCTGCATTTAATCAAAGTTTTAGTGCAGGATCTAAGAATATGTACATGCATATTCCCGAGTAAAATACACATTTTGTTTTAGATCAGAGAATTGACAGCAGGAACACGAATTTGATACAATAATTTCCTAGCGTATTTCTTGTTAATCAACGGAAAGCATTCTTTTCTCAAGTGTTATTTATGTTTTACTTTTTCTATTGAAAATGCTCATTGAAAGACAGGTTGCCACCCCCCCCCCCCAACACACACAGTTTATATTACGGTAAAGTTATATAAGGGAAATGTATGCCAAGGAACTGGTACTGAAATAAGTAGCTTTTCGACTTTGGGGAAGGTTTTTCTTTGCTTGTCAACTTTTCAAGGTAAGAAAAAACATATTTCTTTGGCTGCCCCCCCCCCTCTACTTTTAAAGACATTGCTCCGGGCCTGGCTAATTCGTATTGCTTTCTAGAAAGGCGGGGGGGGGGGCGGGCAACAGACCCTTTATAAAATCGCTTATTATTTAAAAAAAAATGTGCAAACCGTTTCCTTCTTTTAAAATTTTTAATTCAGCGTGTAAGTTGATCACTATTTTGTTGGATTATCGTAACGTGTAGTCCGCGGAAGTCATGCTAGTGTAGAAGAGTTCCGATTTTGAGGGGAGATAACTCACTTTTGAAAATGGGGAATTATGAAAAGAAGCAGTTTCTTCCCTTTTTATATCCCCACTCTGCAGGAGAGGTGGTATACTGATTTATTATATACCCCCACATGGGCTCACAAATCTATAGTTTTATACTGGCAGGATTCACACAGTATGTCATGTATGATTAGAATATGAATACATTTTAACAAAACTGAGAACAAGATTAATTGTGAAACACTGATTCCCCCATACATGGCAGCTTATGCCACGACTCCAACGTGGTATCCCAAAAAAGATCTTGTCACAAGGAAAACACCTCTGAAATATGAAAATCTAGTCCAACGTCAAAAGTTGTGGTTAAGGTTAAAGTTTTTTTAAGGTCGGTCAATGTCTAAGGTCAAGGTCAAATGGTTAAAAATATTTATACTCATTAAAAGAACATAATAGTATAACTGATCATCTGAATATGCTGATAAGCAATGTGATAATCAATCTAATTAAAATTAGATGTTCCGAATCCGCTATCGCTTCTCAAACATCTAACAACATCCCATTCGGGGTCACGTCAGAACGACCTTTTAGATGTGAATAAACATTTCAGAATTAGCCAATCAGATTCGAGTTTCTAAACCCGTCTCGGTTGAAGCAGAAAAATGGCGTCGGAAGAAGTAATGAAAATGTTCAATGTAAATAAACTGAAGAAAGAGCAGGAAGAGATACTTAAATGCATTATGGACGGCAAGGATTGTTTAGCCGTGTTACCAACAGGCTATGGTAAGAGTTTACCATATCAACTGGTCATCCCCCAACAGAGAGCGATGGGAAAAGAGGCTCGGAAAATTATAGTATGCTGCCCCTTGATTGCCCTTATGAAAGACCAAGTAGAAAGACTTTCCAAAATACCAAACATTCGGGCGATATATAGAGGTAATGTAATATTTCTTAAATGCGTATGAATAGTAATTATTTAGAGTAGTTGATATGTAATAGCAAATTTTGTGGAATTCGGGATATTTCGCGCCGATTTTGTTTCACACTGAGATGGTTCGCGCCAGGATGGTTCGCGCCGATTTAGGTGCGAAACATCTAACGATTTTTAAAAATATTCCATGACATTTTTATCCATTTAAAAGAATATATTTATCAATTATAAGATAAACATGTATAGATGTTGTGTGTTCAAATGCATTACTTTAATTACCAGGTCTAGGAAAATCACTATATTTAGCTATATAGCTCTATTTACCTATATACAGCTGATATAGCTTTATCATGTTTATTTATCTATATAATATACTTTATTTGGTTATTTTTGGACAAGTTTCTGTTTTATGAAAAGTAGACAAAAAGTTGCATGAAAATTTATATGGATGATATTTTTGTAAAAAAGTTTGCTAAAAAACAACCTAGGGCATAGATAGTAAAAACATTGCCTCTTGTAAACACTTTTTACCCAAAAAATGCATCTCTATTTTTGGATACCTGTCCCTCACTGGAAGTGTGATGAGGCATGACGAATTGTAATTGCCTTGCATTGTGCTGAATTATTACCGATCAATTATCTTGTTGACCAAAACTTCTTTTCTTTAATATAACATGCTTAAAATCTAAAATTTTGTAAATGAACTGCAGTATGCTAGCACATATCTGTACAGCAATGAGGGGCAAACCATATCTCAGTGCGAAACAAAATTAGTGCAAACCATATTAGGGAGAACCATGCATAGGTGCTAAACATCCAATTACCTTTTTGTGTTTTTCGACAGAGAAATGTCTATGAGTTATTTATTTATTAGAATCCATATTATGTGTATGACAGTACCCCCAAAAGTGAAATTATACAACTGCTTCCTATTACAACTCATCAATACACAACTTTTTTTGTCCCTTTGAGGGCCCTTAATTATCAGAATAAAAATAGAATTGAGATGAACTGAAAAACACAAAAAATAGCCAGCAGGCTGAACAGCTACGTAAAAGTGTTTTATCTCGGTCAGCATTGATTATAGTTTGTTCACTAAAGATATTGAAAAACCTGAATAAACTAATCAAAGATAAACTAATGAAAACTTGAGAATATTTAGAAAAAAATTATTTTTTTTAAATTAATAGATGGTACCCAGGAAGCTGACCGCATTATTAGGGAAGGTGCTTTTGATTACTTGTTTGGATCCCCAGAGTTGCTTGTCGGTGATAGCTCATTCAGAGACCAGTTGCATCAGTTTGGTGTATCAACTATTGTTGTTGATGAGTTTCACACTATAGCATGCTGGTAAGTATTTTCAATTGCTTTGTAACATATTTTATTTAATATATTCTAATATCAGTGTATCTTAACTGCTACTAAATAATTAGTATGTGCAATTTTTCAGATAGAAATTATTATAAATTTTATACAGGACAATTCAGAACATTATGATATCAAATAAAATCTATTTACCACTATTAGCATGAAAGAAAAATCAGAGTTTTTTCTCTTATGTTTTAAGGGGCGAGAAGGATGATGAAGACAGGGCTGCATTTAGGAAATGGTTCAGCTACCTTGGGGAACTACGCTCCATTTTCCCATCTGCATCAGTGTTGGCCCTTAGTGCAACGTGCACCCTTAAAATTTCCAGAAGAGTCCGAAAGGTTTTGAATCTTAAGGAAGACACAACAGAAATTAGGCTATCACCGGACAAACCCAACATCAAACTTGCTGTGAAAAAAATTGCCAATTCTGTCGAGTTAGGAATGGCCTGGATGATTGACAAGTTAGACTCTTTCCCCAGAACCATTATATACTGCACCAGCATTCGGGATGTGTCGAAGTTGTATAATTATATCACTTCAGAAGTACCAAATTGTTCATCATATTGTGACATGTTTCATTCCGAGACACCCGATTCAAAGAAGAAGAAAATACTGGATGACCTTTGCGATGAAAACGGTTTCTTGAGAATTGTCATTGCTACCAGTGCCCTTGGAATGGGGATAGACATAGTGAAAACGAACAATGTTATTCTATATGGAGCTCCAAAGCAATTAGTGGAGGTCATTCAGGAGATTGGACGTGTAGGACGGGATGGAACTCCAGCACTTGCCTTACTCCTTTATAATTCGTACCATTTAAGGAAAGCGGAACAGGAGGTGAAGGATGTGTTTATTTCAGAAAGTTGCAGGAGAAAGGTACTTCTGAAACCTTTTGTTAAAGAAAGTGAACTTGGTTTATTACAAGAGCCACACCATACATGCTGTGACAGATGTGCGTTATCGTGCAAATGTAATAACTGCCAGAAGGATGTTTTTCTTCTTGAGAAGATGTTACAAGATGAACCATCAGCCTCAGACAGTGACACAAACAGTGATTCTACTGAACTATATGATGATGATGCCGAACTTTTAATGGAGTCAGACATAGAATTTGAATAGGCAATCAGAGTTTCCGAAAACTATCGGTCCTACCGGCAAAACCGATAGAAAATCGAAATGTCCGATGAAATTCACTCTAGTACCGGTCCGTGTGACCGATTGTTATGAGGGCTTGTCCAGATTAATTTATTGTACTCTGATCTATTGCAATGTCTTCATAAATGAAAATTTTCAATGCAGCATGCTCCTATTCTTCGTAAATATCCATATTTTTATCTATTTTGCAATTCTACTTGACTTATTCACTTCCAAAAACGATCGTTTTTTTTTAATCCGAATTTCCTCCATTCCTCTGTTAATGGTTAACACATGCAGTATATAGGTCATGAAGTGCAATGACCACTGAGAAAACGTGAAGATAATTTAAACTGATTTTTATTCTGAATTTTTATCATAACTGCTATTTATATATGAATTCATTTTACAAGTGCATGAGAATTAGGCCAAAACTTTTAATTTTAAAAAAGAATTCTATATATAACCTTAAGAAATTAGCTTGTTCAAGAATTAACTTTTTTGCCATATTAGTTGTTTCTTTCCCCCAACATTTACTTGGGGCTAGTGACTTTATTTGCTGCCACAAGCCTGTGTGGGCTGGTGCCATGCTTGAATTCTTTATAGTTGCATAATCCTTGTATCACAATCTGAATCAGTGTTGATAACCATGAAAAAATTTACACATTCAATGTCATTTTCTTTGAATTACATCATGAAATATTCACTGTATATTCTAAAATTTATTCGGACCGATAGAATATGCTTCGGACTGGTAGAACGCATTAAGTCATCAGTCCGAATGACTGATAGAAATATTTGGTTTTCGGAAACTCTGGGCAATTATGTTTACACCCGGTATAATGTTTGATTATTACATTCAAGAAATGTAACGTGTTTTAATTTGAATTGCCATGTCAGAAATGTTCATTGATGGGAAGGATATGGATATATCGAACAGTATTCAATATCAAAGTCCATAAAACAAAACAAAATAGGAGGTGAGTAAACACGGACTTCCGAAACATCAGAGGTGGGATCAGGTGCCATGGAAGAGTGAGCATCTCCTGCTGACCGACCACAACTGCCATGTGCTCATTGTCAAGATCGTGAAATAACGGAAAAATCTGTCGACAATTCAGTGTATAAATATTGGACTAACAATTGGTATGAAAAACGTCAGTTAGCATTTGACTCAATGATAAATTGTATTTGATGACAAGGTCATTGTATCGGCCATAGAACTTATGAAATGATAACTTTAAAGGAGACTGCTGATATTCTTGTTTCATCAATTTGCTTGTCAATAATTTACCCATTGTCTCAGCAACAATTTGTCGAATTTAATATTTTTAATAAATGTTAATGATCACCTTTTTCAGAGTTTGGACTTGATTCATCACATTCAAGACAATTTAATAAACCTGTGCAATACTTGTTTTCAACATTTAGCCTCCTTGTTCATGTTGTTAATCACTAGTCTAGAATGTGGAACAATCATAAGTGAAATTAATCAAGATCGAAAGATTCAATGTCTGACAAAAAAATAGTTCATATTACAGTAACTTTGAGACTTTAACATAAAATCATATTTTTGAAGTATATGTTTTTAATAGTTTTAATTTCATACTTTGTAATATAACTTGTATAAATACAACCTGTTTTTTTTTTATCAGACAATGAATTTTTAAAAGATCTTTACCCAAAGAACAGTTATAAACTGACAATACACAGGGTTGTTCCTAGACCTTAAATGATGTAATCCCCTATTTACTTTGGTATTTCCTTTACCCCCATTGTTAAGGGAGGAACCCAGACTCTATTCTATTTTTTATAAATTTCACAAATTTTAATTCCTATGGACAGCCCTGTATGCCTGTGTGCATTTCTATAATCATTCAAGTATTTAGCATGTTCAAGGAAGACTCAAAAGTGGATCATGTTTTCATTTATTCAAAGCATTTATTAATAATTGCCAACACTAAAAGCCATCAATTGCATATTTTTCAAATAGAAGGAAAAACAATCAACAATAAAAATATTTATGATATATGACAAGTGTTTGACCATTTTATAGAACACACAAAGAAGACAGATGGACAGGGTTAGTGTCAGCAACATGCTTATTCTATGAGAGATGGGAAAACAAATTATCTCACATTGAAAATTTTCTTTATCACCACAATTTCCAACAATCTCGCAAAGATTGATATAATCTGTCAATAGAATAGCTTACATACATCAAAATTGTCAAAAATAACCATTTATTCATTCTTTCACACAATCTTTTCATATAACTATAGTGTATGTTTTCAGTCTTTTGTTGTTGAAAGATTATACTTAACATGCTTAAAGTATGTGAAAAATATGAAAAATTTTAAATAACAAATTATACAGTAAAGACCTACTACACCTTAAAGATATACTTTTATTTTTAAAACTCTATTCTGTCAAGGGATACCGGTATATCACAAACAGAATTTAAATGCACCTACGGTATTTGTCATCAGCTGTATAGTATAGTGTAAATTCACAAGTTGAAGATGAGTTTAAAAGTTTTAAACATTTGAAGTTATAGGCATTTTTAAGAGCCTTGTTCATCAATTTCTTTCATACGTCTACTTACAAGTTTTAAAAACAGCATTTTCAAAATGCATTAAGTTTGGTAATGTATATAAAATATCACCATGTAGTCTTATCCACATGAATCACATACAACATAAGTGATAGATAATACTAAACCAATAGTAAGGATTTCAAGGTACATGTAGTTTGGCATGATTTTCATGTCTAGTATGTTGGCAGTATTCATACATGTGGGTCTCTCAAGCGCCTGAATGGAGCCGATGGTTTATGGCGATGGATCATGGTACAGAGTCCCTTGTACGCTGAGGAATACAGATCACGATCTGGATTCAAAGTTTTACAATCCAGTCTACGCTGGTGGTTTATTGTTAAAACATTCTGATCAGTCAATTCTTTTACAACCTTTAAAACATCTGTCTTGTATGAGGGCAGATGATGGAATCCCTTTCTTTTCCTTATTCCAGTTACTTCCTCAAAATGATCCTTGATATTCACTAAATGAGGATAATTTTTTGAGTTCTGCAGTATGCTGTCTTTTGTTTGATGCCCTGATGCAACAACTTTACTGTCTCTGTTTAGCATTTCTAAATATTCATCCAATGAAATATTATTGTTTTTTCCCCCCTGTACATTGACAAATCTGTTTGCAACGAGTCGATTTTTCTGGTGTTCTGGTAGAATACCAGACGTAAGGGCTGTCAAATGAATAGACCCAATCATGTATTTTACCTTGTTTGTCAGATTATAAATTGGAAGCTCATATTTGGCTGAGCGGACAACTCTTTCTCCATCACCCATGTCAATTCCAGAATCTAAATTTCTAAACAAAAGTGTCAACCGAAATAACATAACTATGTACTCATTCACTTCGTCTTTGTCTCTTTTTCTTTGCTTAGGTTTTGTTTTTTCAATGTTTACGTCATGATACTTTTTTTCATGATACTGTAGGGTACTGCTGTACTTGTATGTTTTTACACAGTGATGGCATTTAAAACGACCATCCTCTTGCACATTTGAGATCCAGTAATTATCAGGATGATCTGGGTTTGAAACTATCTCCCTTAAATTTTCACAAATATCTTCTGACTCTTCAAAAAACCATTTCTTCAATATCTGACTACTTATTCCGTCTATCCATTCAATCTTCTCTTCATTTGTCTTGTTGTCAAAATCTTCTGGAATTTGAATTTCTTCATCGACATTCTCAGAATTCATTATGGTTAGGAACATTATTAAACAGATTGCATCTAATATGACATAATATAACATTTTGTACGCTCTAAAAGCATTACACACTTTCCCCTTAACATTTCGCAAGTTTAAAAGATTTCGAAAGTAGTAAGCAGTACATCTGTCTGTGCCACTTTGGGAGTTGTAAGTCAGTTTATGAATTGCCTGGAATATTAAAAAAAAATTATGTAGATCATTACTTCTCCTATTTCATTGAAAGGTAAAAGAATATTTAAAAATCTAAGAGAACTCACGTTGGTAAATCAATTTCACCAGTAAATGAAACAGTATTTCATAAAATACATTGCAAAGAAATATTATCACATCCAATATTTATTTAATTTTGCATGTCAACCGAGAAACAGCCAAATACAGTATCACATTAAATATTTTTAAAAAATAAATATAATACCCGGTAGTTAAACGTGAGCACATAAATTCTGTGCAATTGTCATAAGAACATCAACCATCAGCAAGCAGTGTTGACTGTTGTTTAAACTCTATTGCATAGAGAGCATACTTTCATCATTCAGTGGTTACTTGTTTTTAACAAATGTTTAATAAAACAGATCCCATTAAATTACAAGTATAGAATTTTGAATTATACATATAAACAGTTTTACCTCTAAGAAGTTCATCATGCGATGGAAATCTTCTATTTTTGATATGAAGCCCTCTAATCTCTCCAATGGGGTCTCGGCATTCTTCAATGCTTCCTGTGCTGATTGTACTCTTTCATCTGTCAAGCGATCTCCTGCAAAATGCAGTTCAACAAATATTATACACATGTGCCCATTGATAATATTTATGTGTACATTTTCATCTATTGCACAATAGTTTATGCAAGTACATCTGTGTGAAACTGAATAAAATAATAAGACACAGTTAAACAAAATTTATGTTTCTTTTCACACCATATACATTCTGTACCTCCAAAAAAAACTGCTTCTACAATTGTGTCATCTTTGCAAGGGACGTATAAATTGGACAACTCCTTCAACAGATGAATCACATCTTGTGTCTTGTTTTCATTACAGTCCCTAAGTCCTAAAGGATACTGAAAAGAAATTTCAAAAGTATATACATATAAAAGTATATACATATACTTGATATGATTAACATACCCAGAGAGGGCATCCACTATATTTTTATACATCAAATGGACAGACTCAAATATCTATCAAATAATTGTCCAGGGCTTCCAAAGGTTAATTTACATATTTTTAAACTTATGAATATTAAAATGGACCCCTTTTCATAAAATGAGATTTTAAATCAATCTGCAAAATTGATTACCTGTACAGTTTTCTCCCCTGCATATCTGGAATATGTATGCTCCAGGTGTTTTGGGTACACTTTTATGAGAAGATCATTCATTTGGGGATGATTTTCTATGATGGATGTTGATACAAGAAAGCACAACTCCTTCATAAGTTGCCTCTGCTCAGTCACTGATGGAATAAACTTGGAAGGTTCAATGTTATCAGTCTGGCTATCATGGTTTTCTGGGGAAAATACCACTCTGTCAAGAATTGCATACATATTGAATAAATGCAGTGATAATGTTTTTCTGTCAGATGTCCTGTAGGAAGGCAATATATCCTTGTCCCAATTATCCCCGATGATCTGGTAAGTAGAATGTCCACCATTTGCCCAGGAATCCCTTGCCTTGAGGATATCGGTATCAAGAATATTCTGCCAGTTCACCAGCTTCCTGTGGAGAGTTGTGGGATGTACACTCAGTCCAATCTTGGACAACCTCTCAATATCCTGTTATATAATATTAACAAAAACATAGAATTAGATTCATCACACTTTATGGATGAGAAATTTATTTATTTTTATAATACATGTTTAACCAAATTTAAAAGGAGACAATAAAGTCAGGATCATTATACATTATAATAATTCAGCATGAATTATAATTGAACATATAAAAGTATTACCCGTTCCGTGCATCCACCATGTTTTAGAATGAAGCCAACAACATATTGTACCAAGGACATTTCTTGGCTTCTACCATGCAATCCAATACAGGCTGTGAGGATTATATGTTGAAATGGTTTACTAGAAACACTAGGTGTCAAGTCACAAACCGTAGCAGTGATAATAGACAGAAGAGCAGGGCAATGCTCCTGGAGGTATTCATGAATGTGATCCCAGCTGAAGTTGAAAAAGTCCCCATAGTCTTTCTTCTGTAATGGACATCCAGATCCGCGCTTGCAGATTTTCACACTCTCCGATTTAACAATCTTTGCTGCTCCAGTTATAACGCACATTGGATTAGACGAACACAGGGTGTCCACAATGGTATTATCAATGTTTGTACCACGGATCAATGCCTTGCAGATTTTCTGATGGGTCTCATTCTGTATAAGAGTAGTCTTCTTTCCACTTGGATAGTACACTGAAACCTAAAGAATGATTTAAATTTTAATTTGACAGTTTGAGTCAATGGCTGAATAACAAACACATAAAATTAAAAACTGCGAGTCATCATGTTAGTTATATTTCATAACAATTATATAAAGAAAAAAAAGCTTTAGTTTCAGATCAAGATACATAAAGATATGCTAATAATATTCTGTATTTTAACATGTTTACATCGTTCATCCAAAAATGAAATTGAAATTGCCAGTCACAAAAATTTATATCTTACATCAGTTTTGTCCAGGAACTTTTCTATGTTGATATTTGTCAAGTCTCAACAAACAAATAAAACCCTATAAAAAAAATTATTCACATGCAAAAATGTTGATTTTTGTCAACAATCTACAGAAAAATCAGGTAAACAACAACAAAATAAATAAATAAGCTCCATTTGTTTTTTTAATTGATAACTTTTAACTCTATCTTCCTGGAAATACCACACAGTAAAATAAGTTTTTTAAAAAAGACAGTTGATGTTTAAATAGGAAATATTTTACACCTGGTCAGATATAAATTTTGAAGCAATGGAGCTCATCAAGTCAACTGAACATGCAGTTTTGGCACGAGAGAACTTTGAACTCAAAGCAATCATGAACTAGTGCTAATTGTAACGGGGACCGTTACAGATGTTCCCCAAACGCTCCCCAACTCCCTTTTGGTGCCATATTCCCTGTAACAATAAGACAAACTCTATGCATTTGAGACTTTAACAACGTTTACCCAGAAGTGTACCAAGTTCATTCAAATTTAAACATTGCACGCGTGCGCATGTGAATCCATGTGCGTAATGACCATATCATCTTGTCTACACAATCTATATATTTTAATATACTAAATATTAAAGTATTTAATCAAAAAGTATTTAAAAATAAGCTCATTCAAGTGTATTTTTTATTTTACTCTTTTCACGTGCACGCACGTGCATACATGAGCATGGTGACCATACCTTCTTGTAGAAGTCCATTACATCTATCTATGTTCTAAATCCCTCCCCGTTTGGTTGTAAACCAAGGGAGTTATAGCTGTTTAAAGTTTAAGCCAATCAGATTGCAGCGCACGTACACGCACGTGTATGCATGTGCATATGACCATATCTTCTTGTAGAAGTTTGTTATATCTATCTATGTTCTAAATCCCATCCTGTTTGGTTGAAAACCAAGGGAGTTATAGCTATTTAAAGGTTCAGCCAATCAGATTGCAGCGCACGTGCATGCACGTGTTTTCATGATAATTGCTATATATTATGTTGTAGGATATCCTAATGCATGGCTATGTTCAAAATTTCAAAGGATTTTGTCAATAAACAAGAAAGACATTGAGACTTTAGTTTCAGCCAATCAGAGCAAAGCGCACGTGCATGCGCGTGAGATCTTGCTATTTTGACCATGCGATATTGTTTATACTTCTAATATATTCTTATATTATGAGTTTTAAAGCAGTTCATCAAAAATGTAAAAAGTTACGCCTATATCAATTAAATCGGTCATTTCACGTGTTGCACGTGCACGCTCTTGCAAGCACGTGCGCGCAAAATGACCTTGATTCCGCAAATCTACGTAACATGTCTACTTACCCTAAAAAGGTTTTACCTACATCAGACGAACAGTTTACAAGATCATTCCCGGACAAAAAAGTACCCAGGAAGAAGAAGAAAAATAATAATAATAATAATAAGAAACAGAGTAAAAACAATATGTTCCCCAACTTCGTTTGGGGAACATAACAAGTTATTTTTCTGCTTTCCATATACATAATTTAATTCTGGTTGTAATACTGTATTTGATTGAATAAAAAAATTCTTTATATTGTATAAAATGCGTTGCCTACATTACAATGAATTGCGTAAAAAAAGTATCAATCTGCATGACGTTACATTCAAATTTTGTACAAATTGAAGTCATTTCCTTAAAGTAAGTGTTCATGATTGGTTTGTAATATGTGTACAAAGTTTCAAGTACCTGTAAGTAGAAGAAATTCAACCTAATTTTTAAAGTTAGTATTTACTAATATGATTGATATCAATAATAATCAACAAATAATTTTCTTTTAAAAATCCAAAAACCTCCACAGATCCATCTAAAGGGGGTACTACTGGGCTAAAGTCCAGAGATCTTTTAGATGACTTTTTAGGTTTATCCTCAATGCCCATTGACAAGTCTATGCGATAATGCATTTTGAAAATTACATATGAAGAAAATAAAAGTTAATATATCATTATCACTGAGAATTTCCACCATCTCATTAAGATGTAATTAAATGAAATAATATCAACTTTTTATTATAATTTTTATCCCTACAATAATACATACCAGATATGCACTCCAATGACTCCATAGCTGTGACCTGTTGCCCCTATTAAAATATATATACATATACACATGTATTACATGATACCAAGCTGTACACCTATAACTATGTAACTGGGATTTTACTGCATTATCTCAAATAAACTTTAAATTATTCAGATTTATATGTTGTGAGGGTCAATGGATTGTACTAGAGGGCAACAAAAATTACAGGGAACTACCCTAGAGTCCATGATATTTTTAGATCTTAATTGGGAAATATTAATTAAAATGATATGATCTTCATTTACCTGAAGATGTTGTCTCTCATTTTGCCTCTGACCAGTTATTTCCTTGAAAGGCGATATTTTGACAGGTGAAACGTATGTTACACTAGCGAGTACATGCATCTTCGTAGGTCTATTATCAGGTTTACTTGCACCTGGGCTGCTCAACATCCGCTTCGTTATGTTTTTTCGCCGAGGGGAGGGCAGTTGCATCACCTGCGTTCGATACACGGACTCGACACCTTCTTTAAGTTTCTGTTTAGTAACATTGTTTTTCTCCTCCGCTTTTATAACAGATTCAACTTGTCGAAAGCACTTCCGACACACACCTGCATTATATTTACTTGCACCTTCAAGTTCAACACTTACTTGGGTCACGTTTCGAATGGATTGTATTCTTTCTGTGTTTAATTTGAGCTTATTTTCATAATATTTGTGTACATTTTCCTTTCCGTCGGCTGATTTTTCTAATACCAGAAAAGAAAACCCGCAAACGATGGCCGATGCACACATCACCAAGTACACATGTTTTCCTTGGTGTATCCGCCATTTTCGCCCCGGTTCTTAACACCTCGGGCTTTTACATTGTAAGAAGATAACGTAGAAAACCTCCGAACTATAAGCCAAGACTTCTGAAGGAGCGATTTTATTGGCTAATGAAAAGGTCGTTCTGACGTGACCCCGAATGGGATGTTGTTAGATGTTTGAGAAGCGATAGCGGATTCGGAACATCTAATTTTAATTAGATTGTGTGATAATAAGAATTAATTCCACAATATTTAGCATATAAGGGCATTTAAAAAGAATTTGTTTGCCTTCCCCCAATAGACTGACTAAAATTCAAAACTTTTTTTTACATTGCAATACAGGATGTTTTTTTTTTCTTTTTATCCATCTGATCTCATCAACAAATATTTTGAAATTTTCTGGGAAAATGATTTTTCAACCTACTTACCGACTTAATAATTTTACCCTGAGTTGGGAGAGGGCAAACAAACATTATAATCAAGATGGTCTTGCCAACTTGTTTTGACATTATATTGTCTGAATTACTTTCATATTTTCATTAGATACTTTAATATCATTTATTAAATATGAGTTTGCCTTTTCACTTAAATTATACATTTAAAAAAAATAAACAAATGTTTTGAATTTAAACATATTTTAGTGAATAAATCAAAGGGATTGGAAACAATTACAGGCCATCAAAAGATTTGTAAGAATTGTTGGAAACTCACTTGTTTTATTATATGATTGAATACTTTCCTTCTCTCTGATTGGCTGAAATCCAACTATGTTAGAAAAATACAACGTTGTATTGACCTGCACGTGACGTTTCAGGTCAATACAAGGAATTATTGCAAGTCAATATAAGGAATTATTGACCTGCTCCATTTTTTCTGTTACAATGTGTTCTTGTTGAAATTTCTTGTTAAAACTTTCAATAAAAGCAAAGAAACAGTCCTGTAGGAGTTTGCTATTGTTTAATCATATAATAAAACAGTTATTGCTGTTTTTTACGGTCAATACGATGATTTAGACACCTTCGAAGTACAATATTCACTTCGCCCTTCGGGCTCAGTGAATATTGTACTCCTCAGTGTCTAAATCATCGTATTGACCTTAAAAACAGCAATAATTGTATATTATTTCATATTTAGAATAAAGTAACTAGAAGCCTAATTTGTTTCCATGGCAACATTTTAATTTACCTGTCTCTGAGTTAATTGCAAAAGTTCTATTTAATTATCAAAAAGAAATTTAAATACTTGACGTATATTCATATAACATAACAATTTGTTCAATTTGGTAAAACATGTTCTTAGATGATCTTCTCTGTTATTTGTGATTAAGGGGGGGGGGGGTGTCATACAATAATTTCTAGAAAGCTGTACATTTACCTATGAAATTTTTTTTATTCTCATAAAACCTTAGAATATATAGTTTATTTAATGATACATGGTTACAAATATATCAGTTGTCAAAATGGTGAAAAATTTCATTGAATATGACTTAAAAAATTCAATTTTGGCAAATTGCCAATTTTCATGCAATAATTTCTAGAAAGTTTTTGATTTACCCATAAATTTTTTTTATTCTCATAAAACCTTAGAATATATAGTTTATTTAATGATGCATGGTTACAAATATATCAGTTGTCAAAATGGAGAAAAATTTCATTGAATATGACTAAAAAAGTCAATTTTGGCAAATTGCCAATTTTCATGCAATAATTTCTAGAAAGTTTTTGATTTACCCATAAATTTTTTTTATTCTCATAAAAACTTAGAATATATAGTTTATTTAATGATGCATGGTTACAAATATATCAGTTGTCAAAATGGAGAAAAATTTCATTGAATATGACTAAAAAAGCCAAATTTGGCAAATTGCCAATTCGCTAACAGCCTAAATGCTGCAAAGAAAATTCGCTTAATATCCATTCAAATATCTTGAATGAAATTTATTTCTGAGATTTAAGTAATATGAGCTCAGAGAATATAATTTTCATGTGAATTTACACTAATTTATTGAATGTGCACTAATTTAATTTAAAACAGAG